ATGGAGAGGTTCAGAATCAGAGCCCAATGGTGGAATCCTGTGCTGGGGATGAGATTCCTCCGTCACCATCAGGAGCTGGAGCCAACCCAAAAACTGCCAAAAATCCAAAGATTTCTGTGCAAAATGAGGCTGGAAACTAAAACTCCTCCTTGGAATTGCTGAATTTCTTCATTTTGGGCAACCAAAACTGCTCCTTGGGCTTCTTCTTTTGAGCACTAAAACTGCTCCTTGGAATTATTGATTTTCCTCCTTTTGGGAAACTAAAATTGCTCCTTGGAATTGCTGAATTTCCAACTTTTGGGAAACTAAAATTGCTCCTTGGGCTTCTTCCTTTAGACAACTAAAACTGCTCCTTGGAATTGCTGAATTTCTTCATTTTGGGAAAATAAAATTGCTCCTTGGAATTGCTGAATTTCCTCATTTTGGGAAACTAAAACTGCTCCTTGGGCTTCTTTCTTTGGGCACTAAAACTCTTGGAATTCTGCTCTTTGGAATTGCTGAATTTCCTCCTTTTTGGAAAATAAAATTGCTCCTTGGGTTTCTTCTTTTGGGAACTAAAACTGCTGCTTGGAATTGCTGAATTTCCTCATTTTGGGCACTAAAACTGCTCCTTGGAATTTCTGAATTTCTCCTTTTGGGCAACCAAAACTGCTCCTTTAATTGCTGAATTTCCAACTTTTGGGAAACTAAAACTGCTCCTTGGAATTTCTGAATTTCTTCATTTTGGGAAACTAAAATTGCTCCTTGGAATTGCTGAATTTCTCCTTTGGGCAACTAAAATTGCTCCTTGAGCTTCTTTTGGGAAACCAAAACTGCACCTTGGAATTGCTGAATTTCTTCATTTTGGGAAACTAAAATTGCTCCTTGGGCTTCTTCTTTTGGGAAATAAAACTGCTGCTTGGAATTGCTGAATTTCCTCATTTTGGGCACTAAAACTGCTCCTTGGGCTTCCTTCTTTAGACAACTAAATCTGCTCCTTGGAATTGTTGAATTTCCTCCTTTTTGGAAAATAAAATTGCTCCTTGGAATTATTGATTTTCCTCCTTTTGGGAAACTAAAACTGCTCCTTGGGCTTCTTCTTTTGGGAAATAAAACTGCTCCTTGGAATTGCTGAATTTCCTCCTTTTGGGAACCAAAACTGCTCCTTGGAATTGCTGAATTTCCTCCTTTTTGGAAAATAAAATTGCTCCTTGGAATTGCTGAATTTCCTCCTTTTGGGAACTAAATCTGCTCCTTGGAATTGCTGAATTTCCTCGTCCTTTTGGGAAACTAAAATTGCTCCTTGGGCTTCATCCTTTAGGCAACTAAAACTGCTTGGAATTGCTGAATTTCCTCATTTTTGGGAACTAAAACTCCTCCTTGAATTTCTCCTTTTGGGCACTAAAACTGCTCCTTGGAATTGCTGAATTTCCTCCTTTTGGGAATTAAAATTGCTCTTTGGAATTGCTGAATTTCCTTCTTTTGGGCACTAAAACTGCTGCTTGGAATTGCTGAATTTCCAACTTTTGGGTACTAAAACTGCTCCTTGGAATTGCTGAATTTTCTCCTTTTTGGAAAATAAAATTGCTCCTTGGAATTGTTGAATTTCCTCCTTTTGGGCACTAAAACTGCTCCTTGGAATTATTGATTTTCCTCTTTTGGGAACTAAAACTGCTCCTTGGAATTGCTGAATTTCTTTATTTTGGGAAACTAAAACTCCTTTTGGGCAACTAAAACTGCTCCTTGGGCTTCTTCTTTTGGGCAACTAAAACTGCTGCTTGGAATTGCTGAATTTCTTCATTTTGGGCAACTAAAACTGCTCCTTGGGCTTCCTTCTTTAGACAACTAAAACTGCTCCTTGGAATTGCTGAATTTCCTTCTTTTGGGCACTAAAATTGCTCCTTGGGCTTCTTCTTTTGGGAACTAAAACTGCTCCTTGGAATTTCTGAATTTCCAACTTTTGGGCACTAAATCTGCTCCTTGGAATTATTGATTTTCCTCCTTTTGGGAAACTAAAACTGCTCCTTGGGCTTCTTCCTTTTGGGCACTAAAACTGCTCCTTTAATTGCTGAATTTCTCCTTTTGGGAAAATAAAATTGCTCCTTGGGCTTCTTTTTTTGGGAACTAAAACTGCTCCTTGGAATTGCTAAATTTCCTCCTTTTGGGCACTAAAATGCTGCTTGGAATTGCTGAATTTCCTCATTTTGGGCTCTAAATCTGCTCCTTGGAATTGCTGAATTTCCTCATTTTGGGCACTAAAACTGCTCCTTGGGCTTCCTTCTTTAGACAACTAAAACTGCTCCTTTAATTGCTGAATTTCCTCCTTTTGGGCACTAAAACTCCTCCTTGGAATTGCTGAATTTCATCCTTTTAGGAAACTAAATTTGCTCCTTGGGCTTCTTCTTTTTGGGCACTAAAACTGCTCCTTGGAATTGCTGAATTTCCTCATTTTGGGAAACTAAAACTGCTCCTTGAGCTTCTTCTTTTGGGCACTATAACTGCTCCTTGGAATTGCTGAATTTCTTCCTTTTGGGCAACTAAAACTCCTTTTGGGCAACTAAAACTGCACCTTGGAATTGCTGAATTTCTTCATTTTGGGAAACTAAAATTGCTCCTTGGGCTTCCTTCTTTAGACAACTAAA